AAAATTTAAAATTACATATGTGTCTCTGAACAGTTTACAGCTATGTTCAGGCAAAAAAAAGAAAAAAAATTATATATGTGGCTCACATACATGGCTCATATTATACTTTTAGTGGATCATCCTATGTTTTCCCTTTCCAAAGCCCACAGGAATAATGTCTGGAACCCAGAATAATCTTTGTAAATACTGGGTGAATGCATTATGTTGGGCTGCCTGAGTAGGGTCTAGAGACTAAGAACTGGCAAACTCCAATTTCTCCAAGCAAAGCATTTGGTCATTTAGTCAAAAATCGGAGTATCTGATAGGCCTTAGCAGTGGAAAAACAGTGGAAATGTGTGAAGCTGTCCATCAGCTTGAGGCGGCTGTTGGTTCCCAGCTGTATTTACACTCTGCTTCAAGAAATAAACACCATTTCAGTTGGGCCAACTCAAATATTTATTTCTTTGAAAACACCATTTCCAGAGTGTAAGCATTTGTTTTACAGTCTTTTTTAAGGAGGCAGATTCACATGATTGTTCAAATACTTCTGCTTACACAACGCAGAACTTTGGAACTGGACCAACTCATTGGCTTCTAAGGTGCAGCCTCCCATTTAGAAGCTGCTTCTGGCTGGGTGCGGTGGCTCATGCCTGTAACCCAGCACTTTGAGAAGCCGAGGTGGGCAGATCACGAGGTCAGAAGTTCAAGACCAGCCTGGCCAACATGGTGAAACACTGTCTCTACTAAAAATACAAAATTAGCCGGGTGTGGTGGTGCAAGCCTGTAATTCCAGCTGCTTGGAAGGCTGAGGCAGGAGAATCGCTTGAACCTAGGAGGCGGAGGTTGCAGTGAGCTGAGATCATGCCACTGTACTCTAGCCAGGGACAGGGCTAGACTCCTCAAAAAAAAAAAAAAGAAGCTGCTTCCTCAATATATTGATTGGGAAGTGAAGACAGCAAAGGGGTTAAAGGGCCTAATACACTGTACAATAGGCTTGTATTCTTTAAAATGGTTCTTAAAATAATTGCCTTGATCTCTGATTTTCTGCAACATGCAAGTTATTCCCTCCCTTCTACCACAAAATGATGCCTTGGCATAGAGTCATCAGCAATCCTGTCATGCCAGACCATTTAAGTGGTTTTGAAGCCACTTGTAAACAATTCTAATACTCCATTCCTGGGGCAGTAGAAAAAAAAGTTAAATTCAAGAGGGTAGCCTTGAAAAAGAAAAAGAAAAAATACAACAATTTGCCTGAGAAAATGTTAAGAGTTTTTAGGCCAGGCACAGTGACTCATGCCTGTAATCCCAGCACTTTGGGAGGCTGAGGCAGGTGGATCACCTGAGGTCAGAAGTTTGAGGCCAGCTTGGCCAACACAGTGAAACCCCATCTCTACTTAAAAATACAAAAATTAACGAGGTGTGGTGGCAGGTGCCTGTAATCCCAGCTACTCAGGAGGCTAAGGCGGGAGAATCGCTTGAACCTGGGAGGCAGAGGTTGCAGTGA